GATGAAGATTGGTGTGCATTTGGAACTGTCTGTGTGAATATAATAAACCCGGTGTTTGTTGATCCCACACTTGTTCCAACCACACTTGCAGGGGCAGAGAAGGGCAGAGTTGAGGCTGGTCTGGTCAAGCACCCTGATCATTTGGTGGAGAGGAGGGCTGCAAGGACGCCAAAGTTGGGGGTGCCCCAGCCACTGGCGGGGTCCTGTACGGTTGCATGGTTTTGGCGTTTGAGAAAAGGGAGCGGAGGCGAAGGGGAGGTGTGTGTGTGTGTGGGGGGGGGGAAAAGAAAGCGAGCCAAACGAGAGTGAGCAATTGTCTGCGACGACGACAAAACAACAGATGCCAGTTTTAGTTGGCCGCGCCCACTTACCCAGCCAGTGGTAGCTTGGAAGCCTGGGCAGGAACCAAAAGGATTCGAGCCGACGGTAATGTCGTGGAAGGCCTCAGGGTGCTGAGTCGCGAGTTGGTAGAGGAGCGGATTGAAGAAGCCTAAGGAGCCAAACGAGTGAGCAAAGCCATCACAACTTTTGACCTTTTCGAAGACGCCATATCGAGCGTACCAAGAGAGGGAAGCCCCTTGTTCAAACGCACGTCGTTGAGCAACGAGAGAATGCCTGCCCAAGTTGGGGTGGCTGCGGATGTGCCGCCAACCGTGGCCGGGGCCCCGTCGAAAAACACTTCAAAGCCCATCGCAAATGCCGCAATGTCGGGGTACGCTCGCGAAGAGCTGTTGAAGAAGCTGGTGGCAGGAGCGACACCGCTGCTCAGGTACTTTGCCACAGCGTCACTTTGGTACGACGGGCGAGCAAAAGTGTTGCTAAAGCCACCACCGCCGTCCGCCCAAACGTGCTCCGTGTTGCCTGATGCGATAGTGCCACCAACTTTAGCAGAGCGAGGAGGAAGACAACCACAACAACAACAGAAAAAAACAACCCCAAAGAAGCCAAGAACGACAGAAACAACACGTGAGAAACTGCCAGAGTGCACGCAAAACGCTCCGAATAAAGAGAGAAACAATAAAATAAATAAACAAAACCCTCGAATGGACATACTGGAAAGGACGTTGGGATCACTGGTGGGCCACTCGGGGGAGAAGACATTGTTTTCGCAACGGACGCCATTGTCGCCGGCAGCGATAGCAATGGTGCGTCCGATGACGCCAAACTTTTGGAACTCGATAGAGACGCGCGCCTTGTAGTCTTCGGGGATGGTGTCTGCAATGTCGCCGTAAGAGATGCTGCGAAATGAAAATGCAGGAAAAACAAGAATAAATCCAGTGAACGGTGTGCAATCGTCAAATTCATTCGACAGGGCAGATGAAGCGCCGTCCACCTCACCTATGCACCAAAGGAGTGTTGGTCGTGTTGAGCTGACCAATCAGGTATTTCAAAAAGTCTTCCTGGCCTTCGTTGACAAGGGAGCTCTCAAACACAAACCTGTCAAAAGGTTGAGAAAAGGGCGATTGGCGACCGCCAAGCCCACGCGTGAGTTTAGGTGGAGGAGCATCGCAATCGCACATGAAACGACAGAATGGAACTTGCCATGTCGTGACATTGCGCCCGGTCGCAGTAATGTACTCAACATCCAGAGTTGCCTCCATTCCAGGGTTGCTGGGGTCGTTACCGCCGACAATCTGGCGGATCGGGTTGAGAGGCACGCTGTAGCGGCTCTGGAAAGTGGACAAATCGCTGGGAGTAAAGTATTGCCTGCGAACATCATTGCCGAGATCGTAAATGGTGAGATTGATGATTCGAGTTTCAAGCATTTGGGGGGGGGGGAATTCCTTGGACGATCGGGAAAAAAACAAAACAAAACAAGACAGCAAGACAAACGACTTACGAGAGGAAAGAGGCGACAGCTTGGGTCGTGGCAGGATTGGTGGCCATGTAGTTGCTCAAGTTGTACGCAATGTTGATGGAGGAAGGACTGACGGTGAGCGGGGCATCGTCACTGGTGGCTGCACGGCGAGCGCTGGAAATGACCGTTTTGCGAGCCGAAGTGGACGGGAAGTTGTCCAGACCGAGCACGAAATCGACCGCGTCGGCAATGTCAGAATCGAGCGTGTACTCGAGCGTCTTGATGATGCGGTTGCCCTTCTCGGATTCAAACAAGTGGAACTGTTGATTGGGGAGAGCCAAGGAAATTGATATGAGCATTGTTGTTAGTGAGTGAGAGAAAAAGAGAAACAAAGACAGAGCCGCCTCATCCGACCTTACATTGCACATGAAGAGCTCTGACGCGACTGCGAGAGGCATCTTGTCCACAATGACATAGTTGTTGGCAGCCGGCATGCGGTAGGCGACGTTTCGGAGGATGAGCGAGGTGACAACGTTATTGACAGCGTCTGGCTCGCCGTCGACGAACTTGGCCATTTCTTCAACGGTCATGTACTTGCCTATGAAGAGTCCAAGAACAACAAGGGGTTCAGCGCGGCGAACAAACGATCAGGTTTGACCATGCCTGCGGTCTAGAATGCGCATGGTGGACGGTACTGTACCATAGTCCTCGCTGGCGGGGTCAGAGACCGCCTTGAGCTTGGAGGCGAGTGCGTCCGTGTTGCGCTGCTTGATGGCAAAGATAACCGAGATGAATGCATTGGAAGCAAAGTCAAACTCGACAGCACGTCGGTCGAGGCTGTTCTGGTCTGCAGGCACGAGCGAGTGCGACGCGAGGTCGACGGCGGCAATGCGAGACCAGCCAGCAGCCGCTTCCGACTTGACGTGGCGGGCGCCTGATCCGCCGGCGCCGCTGTGAGCGACTGGTCGAGCTGTGAATCAGAGCGACATGCCAGTATTGCGAGTGAGCGAAGAAGCAACATTGCAGTGAAGTTGGAAGGGGGAGCAAAGGGGGAAAAATGAGGTCATCCAAGGCTCGTGACGCTTTGGGGTCTGTGGAAAGGGAGGCAGGGGGGGGGGAGAAGCGGGCGGCACACACAGCGACGACGCGCGTTCTTGGTGTGGGGGATGAAAACATGCGACGTGTAGCAAGCAGCGAGAGAGAGAGAGTGAGAGAGAGTGAGAGTGAGAGAGAGAGAGAGAGAGGAGGATGAGAGGCATTGAGAGCTCGGTCTTCTGGCTGCCACTCCAAGAGCACACATGACGCGCATCCATCAAAGCAAGAGAAAGACAGAAAGAAGCAGAATAAAGACGCAGCAGGAGGAGGAGGAGGAGCGTTGAAGTGAGCCACAACAAAACGCAAACCGCACCGTGAGCGCTGAGGACGGCAATGCTCAATGCAAGCAGTGCTGCGACTGCTGCGAACGCGGCGAAACTGCGCTGCTGCAGTGCCATTGCGAGGAATGAAGAGAATAAAGGAAAAGAAAAATGAAGAGTAGATCTAAATCAAAGGAACGAAGAACAACTGCAAACCATCACTCAAAGGGTCATTGAGCAAAAGAGCAGACTTGAAGGATTTCAACAATGCTCAGCAGTTGCACCCACGCAAGGGGAGACGAGTGGAAAGAGTCCTTGCTTGCACACTTCAGAGCAGTGCACTTGTTGTTGAATCAGGCCCTTGTGCACGACTCTGACGACGTGGCATCGTGGAGCTCGAGGGCAAGGATGAGTGTCTTTTGGCGGACGAATGGCTGAATTGGATGCATTTGATCGATATCCCTCCTCAGCACCAACGTCCATCGCCATCGATTTGATGGGCACAGCAAGGCACAATCGGTGCTACAGGAGCAGTTTTTGACGGAATTTCATGCCGCCCTCCTCAACAGAGTGCTCAAATGGAGGAGCTGTCAAAATAATAAAATAAAAATCAAGACCAATTTTATTGGTTGAAATGACAACGCCGCTTCAAACGACGCCGCCGTCGCTCAGCCCCATGCCGCAGACCAGCACGCACGATCGTCGTGTGCGTACGTGTATGCGTGTTTGAGAGTGCATGGTGCGATCGCACTGTGGATGGGTGCGGCTTGTGAGGATCGTCCTCACAATAAGACGCCACTTGGTCATGGTTGCTGCCGATCTCGGTTGCTGCCGATCTCGGTTGCTGCCCCATGCTACAGAGCAACACCAAGAGGACGAGGACATCCATGCGCGACGCGGTGGGACGAACAACAACCCCCCTCCCCAAACCAGTTCGGGGTAGTGCGTCCCCCTCAACCCACGCAATGTCAAACTTATCAGCCGACAGAATGAATGAATGGAGGTAAGTTAGCTCGTTGACGGCGAACAATCACGCGGTCGGCATTTTTCTCCCCCTCTTATTATGATTTGTGCTCTATTTGTGCTCACTCTCTCTCTCTCTCTCTCTCTTTTTTTTTTTGTTGCCTGTTCGCTACCCGCTGTAAGATCGCACGCGGAGCCTCTCTCTGTCTTGCTCTCTCCTTCTCTCTCACTCTTTCTCTCTCTCTCCCTCTCTCTTTCTCTCTTTCTCATCTCATCGAACGCATTCCCATCCGTCTCTCGCTCTCGCTCTCTCTCGTAGCCGTCTCGCTCGCTCTTGATTGCTTTGGCGGCGGTCTTTTACGTTTTTTTTTTTTTTCTTTTTTTTTTCAACTCCAATATCGCCGCCTGATCGCCGTATTCCGGTGTCGGCGTTTGCGTTTTGCGTGTGGTGCAACGCGCTTCATCCATCTGTCATGCGTATTGAAGGGAGAGGGAGCGGAGAGTGAGTAGTGCGGACACCGCGTTTCTTCTGTTGCTTGCTGTTTTTTTTTTTCTTTTTCTTTTTTTTTTTCAACTCCAATCTCTCCGCCTGATCGTCGTATTCCGGTGTCGGCGTTTGCGTTTTGCGTGTGGTGCAATGCGTTTCATCAATCTGTCATGCGTATTGAAGGGAGAGGGAGCGGAGAGCGAGTCGACTTGTGTTGCTGTGACACCGCGTTTCTTCTGTTGCTTTTTTTCTTCTTTCCTTTTTTTCTTCTTTCCTTTTTTTCTTGGTGGGTTGAATGGTTTTCTTTTTCTCGATTGATTTCTTTTAAAAAGCATGACCATAAACAGCACAGTAACGCAAAAAAAAAAAAAAAAAAAAACAAGGAAAAAAGAAAAAAAAAGACGACCACATTGCGATCGCTGCTGCGTTCAGCGTGTTCAGCACTGGGCGCCCCTTTCACTCCCTACCCACCAATACCACCATGGTTATTGATGCGAGGTCATTGCGTGATTTATCGAGAAAGTAGGAGAGCACAGAGCGCAGCGTGGGAGCTCGATTTCAGCTTGCATTTTGAAGTCAAAACCAAAATCACAACGAAAAACAACCGAAAGCAAAACAAAAGAAAAGCGAAGCTATCAGCAAGTTGTCATCTCAACACAGCGTCGTCTGCCATGATGAAGCTTCATAAAAGAACCAAACTCACCATTCACGACGCGATGTCGAAAATAAAAAAAAAATCACTTTGACAGGTTGAATCAGTCTTTAGTTTTTGTTTTTCAGTTTTTGCGATGAGTTCGGCCGGTTCTTCAAAGCGTCAAGCAGAGGACCCTTCCGAAGGTCAATCCAAGCGTGCCAGAACCGTAAGTGGACCGAGACCTGCCTGTCATTGCCTGTCATTGTCTGTCATTATCTGTCATTGTCATTGTCTGTCATTGGGTTTGTATTTTTTTTTTTTTTTTTTTGCTCTTCCTTCCCCCTGGCTTTTTGTCGCGTGTCTTCCTCCCAACTGCCTCGGCGTCGCTCTTCTTGAACACTCTCACCACTCTCTTCGCGTCGCGCAACCGAGCCGCCGCCCTGTCGACTCGGCCCACGAGCGTGGGCAGCAGCATTGTGCAACAAGCGTGCTTTTTTTTTTTTTTTTTTTTTTTTTTTTTGCTTTTTGTTGCTTCACATGTGGCTCTTGAGTCGTCGCGCTGGCCTCCGTGTTCCCCTCTCGTCTTCTACACAAACTCCTTTGAAAGAACTGGTTCTGTGGTGCCGGGGAGTGGCGAGGAGCAAACTTTGCTCGCAATGGATGTCTCGGCAGTTGCGCGCCATTTTTTTTTTTTTTTTTTTTTTTTTTTTTTGGTTTTGCCACCGCGGTTGTGCTGCACTCAAGGTCCAACCTTTACTTTTGATTGTCCAACAGGAGGACAACGACAAATCCGAAACTACCAACGATGTGGCTCCAATGGACACCTCCAATGCTACCTCGGTGAGTGAAAACAAAAAAAGTGCAGTTTCGATTCGGTATTTTTGAAAACTCACAAGTTCTGCTCGAACAGGGTGCAAGCAGCAGCAGCAGCAGCAGCAGCAGCAGCAGCAGCAGCAGCAGCAGCAGCAGCAGCCGGGCAGCACCCCTCTCAGTCAGTAGTCAGATACTATGTTCCAAATGGACGAGTGGATCGGAACTGATTGTTGCTTTTCTGCTCGAACGACAGGAGGCTGAGATGATCGAGAGGCTACCCGAGCGTCTCCGCGAGCCTTTCGGTACGATTCCTCCACTGCGTCGGAGCGTAGAGTTGTTTTGCCGACTGACTTTGAACTGGCGTGACAACAGACGTCAAATGGACAACTCCTGGCCTCCGCAACTACCTGCTCCAGCAACTGTCCACTCCATCAGTTGGGCTGATGCTTCGTAAATCATCTACAATTAATGCATTTCAAGACGAGCTCCGAGAGTTCATCGCCTTCGGTCCCGATAAGATTGTCGAACAGCTCGAGCTTCGTACTGAACAGCTCAAGCTTCGTACTGAACAGCTCAAGCTTCGTACTGAACAGCTCAAGCTTCGTACTGAACAGCTCAAGCTTCGAACTAAGTCTTTGCAGGCGTTGGTGCGAAAGGACGACGACGACGACGACTTTGAGAGCACACCACACTCTCTCGTGCTTGGATGGATTAAGGACTGGTCCAAATTGCAAGGTCAGTTCTGATGCATGTGTGTGTGTGTGTGTGTGTGTGTGTGTGTGTGTGTGTGTGTGTGTGTGTGTGTGTGTGTGTGTGTGTGTGTGTGTGTGTGTGTGTGTGTGTGTGTGTGTGTGTGTGTGTGTGTGTGTGTGTGTGTGTGCGTGTGTGTGTGCGTGTGTGTGTGCGTGTGTGTGTGATACTGAGTCGCGGGTATTCTGACCTTTTGTTCTTGTGACCAGTTATGCTGAAAAACACACCGGCTCTCATCCGCGCTTCACTTGCGGGTCTACTTGAACTCAAACTGAAGAAGGAGCAAGTGGTATGTCGTATGCTATTGGACTTTGCGTTTGAAGATGCGGCGTGTCAGTGCATTCATTGGTTTTGTTGTGTTGGCAGGATCAGTTCGAGTACCCTCTCGTCGACTTGCAAGTGGCAACTACTGCAATTAAAGCGCACTTGAATAGAGGCATCGACCAACCTTTGACTCCCTCCGATCGAGGTCGCACTCCATCGTTGCTTGCGGCAACGTTGCCAGGCGCCGGAAAAACGAGGCTCTGTCAAGAGTTTGTGCGTCACATCGCTCCTGCCGTATTCAGGAGCCGACAGGTCAACTTTGTTTGCTTGTTTGTCACCTTCAACAGCTTAACCAGTTTCGCCGGTTCAAACGACTGGACCATCACGCTTCGCGCCCACCCAGAGCACGCTCTTGCGACTCGCCTGTTGCAAGCGTACTTTGAAATCCCCCTCGATTTTTTTCGGAACAACTTTGAACAAACTGGCAGCTTCGAGGTCGCTGCTACGCTCCGGTTCATCCAGGAGTTCGATTTCAAGCGTCGGTACAGTCGTGAACCCACAGTGAAAGACAAATTGCCGTACCTCGCGATTGCAGTTGACGAAATCAGCAAACTGCTTTTTGTGACCAATAAGCAAAAGCCAGACCCACAAGCGGCAACAACCTCCAGCTCGAGCTCGCCGGAAGACGCGAGACAAGCAAAGCTAGCTGTGATTAAATCTCAGCGTGAGCTGCTCAAAGCGACCCTATCGTCACTCAAGAGTGCCACCCTCATTCCGGCTACCCGGCTCTTTGTTTTGTACGCCGGAACCGTGCCAGAACACCTTCGACCTGGTCTGGTCGAGCCCTTTGACACTGGAAGCACTGACTCGAGCAACTTGGCGGTCTATCCAATTCCAATGGAGCCGTTCGATGGCCCCCACACCGCCGAGTTTGTAGACGTGGTTGCCGGAGTTACACAAACACAGTTGGATTGGCGCCTTGATGAAAACTTAGTGGGCAGACTTCGCATTGTCGGAGGCCTGCCACGCCATATTGAAGACGTGATGGACGTGAATACGCCTGATGCCATTGCTCGACCACAACTGAGCTCTGTTTCTTTGATCAAGCTCGTGCGCTTTTGTGCGTTCAATGCACAAATAACAGGAAAAACACTCTTGGAGGACGTGGCTGCTTGGGTCAGTCGCGGTGCAGCTGTTGTAGGTATGTTCTTCCATCAGGATTTTGGCATGTGCGTATGTGGTTGCAACCATCTCACGTATTGCGGCTGGCTATGATGCGATTCGCTGCAGCTGCAACACCTTCAGCTCAGTCCAAGATCGCAGCCCGGTCCCTGCAGTTCAACTTGTACAAACCACTCGATTTGCGTAAGTGCCGGCTGTGTTCTAATTGGAGCTGATATGCATGTCCGTCAATGAGTCGCAAGTGAAAACGGAGATCGGCGATACGGAGCACTCATTTGAACTTCAACATTTTGCAGTACCGGCTGATCAGGTCCTCGAGCCTGTCACGCACAGCGTCGAATTGATCGACCAGCTTGCACGCCTACTGAAGCGTTGTCTAAACTCGATCACAACAGACATGCAAGGCTCTGCGTCCAAGCCCGATCGGTGGGAGCGACTTGTCGTCCACCTATTCAACTTGCGAGTGACAGCGTATCTTGCCCAACGCGTGCTGTCGGCATCTAAACCTCCTTCGGGTCCCATTCTTGTCCCTCTCATCAAGTTACTGCCTGGGGTCAAGTTCAGTGATGACTGCAAAAACCTGTCACTCATGCTGGATCCCAACACCTGGGACACGAATGTGTTCATGCAACTTGCCCCAGAGAACGAGCCAGGAATCGATGCTTACATGCACGCCGACCTTGCTGGTCATGTAAGTCTGGAGATAGATATTGGTCGCGTTGTTGTTGGTTGAGTGGTCACTCTGAGTTCTCACTGGTTGCTGCTGATGGCTGCCGACTATCAGGCGACGAAGAAACGTGTCGTCATTGGTCTGCAGATGAAGCTGCACATGCACCTCCAGTCGACAGGCCCCGCTGAGCTTAGCAACTATGAACAATGGGCCCGCCAGCGACTCGATCAGTCCTACGTGTCGAAAAACAAACGAAAGAGAGACAAAACGCTTGTTCTTGTGGGGGTCATGTCAACTGCTCGTTTTACAACTGCTCAACCCGCTGAGAAGTCGTGGGTGCTGGAGCGTAACGCGCTGGACCAATTCGCGCAAGGATTTCTGACTGTTGTGCGAAGTACGTATTAGCTCTCAGCCGATTGATGGGTAGAGCATGCACTGACTTTTTGCTGCAACAACAGGCGCCTACTCGTTCGACCCGCATCACAGCCCTGCAACGCACATTGCGAGTTTCCTCTATTCGTGGAACACGCAGTCACAAGCTGTGTGCAACGCGTTGGCACACCTTCTCGTGCAAACTCGGCACCGACTTCACCGGCTAGACGGCCGGCAGCAGTTTAGAACAGCGGAGGACCTGCGCCAGTTCTTGCTGCGCCAGATTGGTGCTTCCAAAGAGGTCTCGTTCGCGGTGACGACGGGGAGCGGCGAAACAAAGCAAGTGACCCACACTCTCAAGTCGAAGCATGTCCCGCCCGCCGAGCACCTTGGCTGGTACTTTGCATTGCCTGATTCCGCAACGTCGTCTTCCAGCGCCAGCGTGTCCAGTTAGAGGCTTTGGACAAAGTTGATGGGTTAGGCGTTCATCAGAATGAGTGCCGGCATTTTCTCAGTGCACCTGCTGAGCCATCGTCTTAATTTGGTTGTGTGTTGTTCGCATTGTTTTGTGGTCTCTTGTTATGATCAGAGATCGTTCCACGAAGATACGAGTAATGGGTTGATGATGAGAGTGATAATAGGGAAACAAGAGACTTCACTTATACAAAGCGACGAGTGAACACACTCCAAATACAGATACACATCAATCCATAACACTCCGCCTTTCTTTCCCCCCTTTCGAGACATTCCCAAAGCACTAGCGCTTTGCGTTTGGCACTTTCCCGAGTAGGCTTGTCCGGGTTAGCCTTATGAAATGCCTCCGTCATGCGATGGTGTTCTCCAAACACCTCCCACGGCTCAACAGTCGGTTCCTCCACGCCTGTCCACTTGACCTTGTACCAGAGCGTTCCTTTGTCAATAAAAGAATCAACAATCTTTTCCGCTTGATAATACTTTTCGCCTTTCATGTGAATGGGACGAGGCTCGGACACTGGCCGGCCAGGTATGCCATCCGCCCCCACGGCCTTGACCCGTGAAACATGGAAGCGAGGATGATGCTTCATGAACTTTGGCAGGCGAAGCAGCACGGTGTGCTTGTCCGCCTCAAGCACCTCGAACGGACCAATGTACGTCGGGTTGAACTTCGTGGCCACCGTCTCGAGACGCAGCTGCCGCGTGTCCAGCCACACATTGTCGCCAACCTGGTACCCGGGGGCGGGAGTCCGATGCTTGTCCACTTTGGCCGAACTGAGCTCATTCGCTCGGGCCAACTCCTTCCTGGTGTCCTCAACAATCGTACGAATGAGCGCGATGTGCTCATCAACGTCCGACTTTCGTTCAGGAGGAGTAATTTTCCATGACGTCCGAGCTTCAAAGCCCTGGCTCGCCATGAACGGCGTCAGTTTCGTGCTTGCGTTGACCGACGAGTTCATGGCAATCTCGGCCCAGGGCAGCAACTCCACCCAATCGTCGTGACTGTGGTTCACGTAATTACGCAAAACCTGAGCCATCACTGCATGCTGTCGCTCAAGAGACCCGTTCGTGTTGGGGTGAAACGACGTTGACGCCCGCTGCCTAATGCCAAGCCCCTTGCAGATGCTGGTCATGTGCTCAGCTAGGAACCGTGAATCACGATCGTGCAGCAGCGTGTTGGGCAGCCCATGGTACGCAAACACGCGATCCATGAGCGCCCTCGTCACCATCGCGCTACTGCTATCCTTGGAAAACGGGATGAGATGCACCTGCTTTGAAAGCAAGCACTGAGCAGTGAGCACCGCGTCGTGCTTGTGCCCACGGTAATCCTTCGACGGCACCAGATCCGTGACCAAGTCAATAGCCACATCCTGCCACACGCCAGCGGGCACTTCGATCGATGCGTTCAGGCCAGCTTG